TGCTGAGGACCACGAGAGCCCGAAACCTTTTCAAGGTCATCATAACAGGTGTGGAGTTGAAGCAGACGGTTCCCATAACAAAGTGAACTTTGTTTGCATGGACAACGTGAGAGGAGGTTGGGGGTTTGGCTGGGGAAATGATGGTTTCATTCTATGGACTGGCACCTGGAAACCTCAGAGTCCGTTTTGCTTCGACATTACCATGCAGTTGCATTCGATAAACATATATTGGGATTTTATTGTTTGTAAGCCCCCCCAGGAGTCATTGAGCGTGAACAGGCGGCCATTTTGTAAGGCCATCCTCTACGCCAGAGGTGTCTAATTTGGTTTCATTGAGGTCCACATCAGGGTTGTGTTTGATCTCAGGGCGCTGTGTTGGCTTGGCCGGGTGGTCATGATCCCGCGGCCCCTTCAAGCTCCATTTTCACTTGCAGAGGGCTTGCATCCTGGACAAAAACAGCCTGGGAGGGCCTTGTGTGGCCCTCGTCTTTTTGCTGGAATAGGTACTGCAGGCCGGTCCTTTGCTGTTTTCCGGGCGGCCCCACAGGCCACATCCAGGCACCCCCAGGGGTGGGATGCTGCCGGTATAACAACCAGTTCGGTGAAGAGCAATGCAAAAATCCTCATCTGCTATGTTACTTTGGGGGAGTAACAGAGCTGAGGAGCAGCAATCTACTCTTCCGTGCTGATCAGCCGGGACGATAAAGGCTAGTACAGCACAGGGGCCCACCTGATCATAGGAGTGAACCAGCTCGCTCTCAGCTGATCTTTGGAGTTATAGGTTCACCCCAACCGGCAGAATCCCACCCCTCAGGCCGGATGCAGCCTTGAGTTTGACACCCCTGCTCTAAACAAAAAACAAAACAAAACACAAGGTTGTTAAGAGCCAAATTATAGATTAAAAGCATGCTAGAATATATATTTTTAGTATAATTTTACCTTTGCTACCTACTACCCCCCCCCCCAAAAAAAAAAACCCAGGGCAAGAGATCAGTGGCCAGGAGACAGCAATGAGCATGAAATAGCCTCCCGTTGTTCCCAGGTGTTCTCAGTCTCAAACCTTGCCCATCGGTCTCACAGCAGTTTGAATGGAGACAGGTTCGTTCTTTTTCTGTCCAGCCTTGGCAAAAACTTTTAAGGTTTTTAAAGGTTTTCTGGTTTGGAGAGTCAGTTTGAGATTTTCATTTTGTAAATGGAAAGCCCTCAGTTTTTCTTTGGATTAGATTCATGGAGTAGACTTTCTATTTTGGGAGTAATTTCTAAAACACGGCTTTCCTTTTTCCCTTTCTTCCTCTTTTTTTCCCTTCTTTCCCTTCCTCTATCCATCTTCTTCCCTCCTTCCCTCCCTCCCTCTTCCTTCCCTCCCTCTATCCATCTTCCTTCCTTCTTCCTTCCCTCCTTCCCTC